TATTCCTGTAATCCCATTTACCCGGTAGGGATGGAATAACGCTTTTAGAAAAGTGACTACATGCCTTGAAGTCATATCCGGATTCTCTACCGTTGATACGTGTTACAGGTCAAAGTAATATCCAGATTCCAGATTATAACAAGATACGGTGTTGAAGACTTATATCGTATCGGGTATGTAAGTGTTTTCGATATTCTTTTTCGATTATTTTCCAACAAGTTGGGGGCATCTCCTAGTTGTTTTTGGGTGAGAAGTGCTTACCTCTTGAACGATTACCGTGCATCTCCCTAACGACTTTCATGTGTTTTCAAGGAGATTTTTGTGCCTCTCGGACACATTTCGTGCACTTCCCCAACGAATTTCGCACGTTTTCCGGACGAGTTTCATGGACTTCCCGAGTGAATTCTGTGTTCATCTTTCGGACGAGTTTCATGCGTTTCTTGGACAAATTTAATGCATTCTCGTACGAATTTCATGTACTCCAATATGAGTTTGATACGTTTTGAGAAGAATTCCGTAAATTTTCCATATGAATGACGCATAATACCTAGGGATGGATGTTTTAATTCGTTTTTTCGGAAATGAACTGTACCGAACCGAAAAATGCGATATTTTTCACGATCCAAACCGTCTAAAATTCCCAAACGGTATTAATTTTAGAAAACCGAATTTTAACCGAATTGAATCAAAATTTAAAAGACTTCGAAAAACCGATTTTGTTTAAGAAAATCTAATGTTTTTAATAAAAACTGGAATCGAATCGAATTGAATATAAAATATTAACCGATTTGCGCCTAATTTTATAAAACCGAAAGCATCGAACCATTCCCAACATGAAAGCGAATTGAATATCGAAATGTCCACCGCTAATATTACCCCACAAATTATGTACACTAACAAACGAGTTTCGTACAGTCTGCGTGAGATTAGATTGAAAAGATTTTGTTTATTCAAAGAAATTTTCGAGGGATTTTAGTGAAAGATTCACTTTGAAAAAAACATTTGGCTTACTAAATGATTTTTTTAATTTTTTTTCAAAGGTAATCTTCGATTTTTTTTTTAAGTATAGTTTGCGAGTGTACATATTCTGTTGGCACACACTATAAATAAGCTTTTTATGTACATTATGCAAATAACCCCATTTTATTACCTCATATAACAGAAATTTTGGCGATTGATTCGTAGAATTTCTTTAAAGAAAAACTCAAAAAAAAAAATGCGGTAATGCACTTAAAAAACCCAAACAAAAGATGGTGGGTTTATGCCAATACAAATACGAAGGATAACATCCCCACACCAAACACGCGACGCTCTGCTTCTTATTCATAAACCGTCACTCAGCTCAGAACCATCGCCCTTCAGCCCTGAGGACCGATGATGCCTGCAACATCGGTGGCTCATTAATCGACTGAATGACGTATCAACAAACGCTTTAATATCGGCCGGGAGAGCGGGAAAGGCTATAAGAACAACAAGAATACAATGGTGAAGCAAAAAAGTAGTGATCACCCAGATGAAACCTCTCCAGCCATTAGATGTGATTGTCCCACCAGAAAGCAGAGATATTTGATTGGGCTACAAGGAAAGCCAAGCCAAGAGGGGACAAAAAAAACAAGGGGGATACTTTTACTTACCACCAGCATTTCCAGTTGTCTTGCTGAGTTCATGGCCACCTGGTCATAGAAAATGAACGAGTCTCTCGGTTCATGAGGAGGTCATAAGCGTTGTCCCATGTGAATAGAGTAGATGCTAGCATAAAAACTAATGAGAAACTCGAAAACCGATGGCCAAAAGAGATGCAGAAGGGTATCCACCCTTTCCGAGATCTGCATGGACAGCCACAGCCCTTCCGACGATAGAGTTTGGTCCAGTAAGAGGGGTCTCCAACGCAAATGCCTTGTAAGAGATTTTTATTTGCTTTGCTCACTACAGCTGAACTAGGTTGTTATAAAAGAAAAGAGCAGCATGTGACAGGATCATCAATGATGAATGAACCTGGTTGCCGACAATTGTATACCGTAAATCAAAATCTAATAGCAGCTTCAAGCGAAACTCGCCATCTCTTTCCTGTCGTGGAGTTGGTAGTGCCTTTTAACACCCTCACTGCTGCTCAAGACTGCAGCTGACTTCACCATTTTCAAACTGTTTTGTGATCTGCCAAAGACAAAAAACCTTTTCCAAGTCTCACATGGAATATCCATTGCCATGAATAAGAAAGAGCAGATTCCCCTGAATTGGGGAACTCACCCTCTCCCAAATCAAGAAGAATATGCGCATCATGAAACCAAAGCATCTGAATTTGTGAACGCCTAACCCGTCTCTGGCACATTTAACTTCATACACTTCAATTAGATCTGAAACCCAAACATATCACTTCAATCTTGAGGAAAACCATACGAAACCTGTGACGAAAATCAGGATCATGGATGGCGTATTAACACATGACTGGTCAAAGTTGCTGGCTAGAGGTTAACTGGCCTCAACAACTACCGGCCAAGTTTGACGCACAGCATTCAAAAGCGACGAACAGTACCGTTAACTATCAAAACGAAAATCACGAAGAACTAATATCCATCGATCTATTCCAACTTTGAATAGGAAGAGCGCATTAAGAAAAAGGAAAAATCGCACGAAAAGCCATCCATATTCAACAAAACCAGATCGAGCAAAGAAGAAAGAAGGAGAAAACGCAAGAGAGAGTTAGAGAGGATGAATCTTACACACCTCAGAGTAGAATGTTATCGCGGGATATTTCGAGTTTATAACTATTCAATGCAGGAATCAATAGGAAATGGATACATGCATTAAATTTTAAGATTGGTCGAGCGAGGGCATTGTAGAACATATGCCTTTAATGAAGTTGATTCACGCACAAACACAATAGTTATCCATGAAACAAGTAAGACTATAGGGTAGCACAAACGAGATATTGACAAGTTGTTTTGGTGACGCTGTTGGTGATTGGCTATCTCTAACAATCTATAGAAACGTGACGGAAGGAATGTGTCGGACCTTGTAATGGTCTTCTCCCCCTTCAACCAGCTTCTCCTTGAATTCCTTTTTCATCCCACAGATCTCCAATTCCTTCAGAGAAGAGATGTTTCTCAATCCATCAGGCAACCTCTCCAGCCCTTCGCAATGTTGGATCCGTAGACGACGAAGACGAGGCATGCACCTAAACATATGTTCTTTCCATTCTAGAGTGTAGCCGTTAGAGCAAGATTATTTTTCCTCCTTTTGTACTCTCATACTAGTTGTTAGCCCATCTCACTCTTCTTGTATAAATTCCCTTAAATTTGTACAGATTAAATCAAGTTAATATTAGGGACTTTGTTCCCCATTTTATATTATTCTTCCGTCCTCCAGTGTTTAACATTTGATCTCTTTTATTTTTTTGTCAATTTCATCTCAAATACTCCTAAATTATATTAAAATCTTCATGGTATCAGAGCATAAAGTCTAGAGGACCTTGTGTTTTTTTTTTATTCCGCTGCGAAATCGAAGCATATTCCCTCTCGGTTGTGTGTATACCGAAGAGGAGCCTGCTCATTTCATTTTTCAGAATTTTGTTCTCCCTTTCGGTCATTCATTCAAACCAAAACGAGAGTTTTCTTCAAGTGAATCGATCGTTGGCCATTCATTCAAGTCACGGTTCACCAAATTTTTTTCCCTTGTCTCTCTCGGTGTTTTCATTTTAAACCGAGAAGAATTTATTTGTTCTATCTCTTTATCACCAATATGTGTGAGTATTGCGATAGCGATTGTGAGTATGATGAGGTTTATGAAGAACCAGAATACAGGGAGCATTGGAAAGTCGAAGATGTCTTAGCCAAAATACCAAAGACTTTAAGAGAGACGTTGGTGCAAAATGCTAATGCAAACAACCTCGAGTTAAGTATTACTCTTCTTGAAGAATTATTTCGAACTAATGAGTTTTCTGAAATGATGCAAAAAGCACAGGTCGAAAACATTGAAGAGGCGAAAACAATGTATGGAGAACTACAAACCGATCAGAAAAACCATGAGAAGGGTAATGACCTAGATCATGTACTCTCGGAAGAAGAAGAAGAAGAAGGAAGAGAAACGAATGCGATTGAGAATGACCTCATAACGGAGGCAAAGAACCCCGAAGAAGAGGCATCACATCCATCTGAACTCATTCCACATCTGAATATAATAAAAAATCCGAGCATCCCCTTCGCATGGAGAGAAACCCAAAAAATCCAACAACTAATCATGAAACCTCATGGTGTCGAGAAGCTCACGAGTGAGGGGGAATGGCATGGTACACTCGTATGCTTCTCTACCGAAAATAATATATCCGAAAACAGCTCGAGGTATGGTAAACTTATCTTCAATACTTTTGTTTTTGATCCCGGTGAAAATAAGTTTGTATTGCATGGTGAAAATGAATTCATAAATATTAGGAGTATGATTAAATTCGCTTGTGATATTAATGAAAACCGAGATGAAATACTTAAAACTTTTTATAATAATGCAGAATATCACCAAATGTTAACATATAAACTTGAATTTAATCGTATTAGAGATCTTTTCTTACTCTTATTTGATGATAAGCATATCATTGCATCGTTACATTCAATTTTTTGTATTAAATGGAGTGCTTTGGCCTCCATTGTATGTTCTAATCCCTTTTTGATGAAGTATATGCAGAAAATAAAATCGAATATAGGACATACGAGAAACTTAAAACCAAAGGAACCGCCATGGAAGGAGATTGGATGCATGAAGACTGAGCAATGCATTCTTTTGGCAAGATTAGCTTTCCAAAATTTCTACAAGCTAATCTTAAGGGGGAATGTTGAAGACCAAAATACTATGAACACAAAGAAGCTCAACCAATCTATGAAGTTCATGCCTTGGACGTGTGAAATGGATAATTTAGCATGCATGAAGAAGAGAAGGATAACAAATGAAGTGCATGGGACGTTTGGAAATAAAATACAAGCTGCACTAAATGAAGCCAAAGAGGGAAAGAATATTCAGCAACATTGTGGCAAAATTAAGAAAGGAAATAAGGAGATTTCGTCCAAGAATATTGAGAAATCATTCAAGGATAATATCTCCAAGAAATCTTAATCAAATCCGTCCAATCATGCACCTAAACATATGTTCTTTCCATTCTAGAGTGTAGCCGTTAGAGCAAGATTATTTTTCCTCCTTTTGTACTCTCATACTAGTTGTTAGCCCATCTCACTCTTCTTGTATAAATTCCCTTAAATTTGTACAGATTAAATCAAGTTAATATTAGGGACTTTGTTCCCCATTTTATATTATTCTTCCGTCCTCCAGTGTTTAACATTTGATCTCTTTTATTTTTCTGTCAATTTCATCTCAAATACTCCTAAATTATATTAAAATCTTCAGACCCTTCTTCCACCACCCACTCTTCCAGATTTGGTAGCTTCCACATTTCCAAATTACGCAGTTGAGGGAACCCTCTACTCGAACAAACCATTTTCTCCCCTATGAAACTCTGCCATAAAATAACTTCCTTTAAACTAGGCATCTTCTCAAGAATGGGCATAGCATCCTCCGCTATTGTACACTGACTTAACTCAATAGACGCGAGGTTGGGAGCCGACAGAAGTTCGTCTGGTAACTTCTCCATATTCATACCATAAAAATGTAACCGGTTGAGACGAGGAAAACACGAAACGAGCCCTCCTACATCGGATTTAATCCGATCATGTGTCCAGTGGCAACACACAAACTCTTCCACAAGTTTCAGGACTGTAATGACAGATAAAGGTAAAATCTCCTCATCCGGTGTTCCATGGACATCGACATGAAGTTTTCTAAGATTTCTCATATTGAGAAGGTCCTCCACTCTATAATGCTCCGTCGAGAATCCAATCAAGGTCTCCAACTTCACCAAACTCCCCAGTTCCAGTTTCGTCCTTTCACTGAGATTACGAGGCAACCTAAGGTACCTCAGATCCTTCATGCTCTTCAACACATTAGGTATATGAACTCTTTTTAAAAAAACCTCCAAGTCCAAAAAGACCAGCAACATTAAATTCCCAAGAGAAGATGGTACCTCTGTTAAATTAGTGTTACTTAAGTTCAAGTATCTCAAGTGAACGAGCTTTCCTATGCTCTTTGGCAGCTTCCCTCCTCGAAATTCCGCTTCACGAAGATCTAACACCCTGAGGGAGGGCAAGCTTCCAAAGCTCAGATCTGGAATCCAGAGAGTAAAACTTGGAGGGATACACAACAGAGATCTTAATTTTGGGTTTCTTATTTGTCTCCGGTGAAATCTTTTTGGTGGTTCTTCAAAACTATCATCTAAATCCAAGCGCACGACAAGTCTGCGAGACCTAAAGATGGGCATAGAAGTTGAAGAGCTGACGCTTGAGAAGTGAGTCTTCTCGCTGATAACTTCAAGGAAGGTCTCTTCTTTGGCTATCAACAAACACACATCTCTCATCACATCATGCAGACGAATGTTGACGAGTCTTGAAGTCCCCTCATCTCTCTTAGAGACTAAAACCATATTTCTCTTCATAAGCTCCTCAAGGTAGCCTTCTGCAACATCTCGAACGGAACTATTAGTATCCTCTGACGGCATTTCTACTATTCCTTCTCCCAACCAATACTGGAACAATCTATTCGTGTCTATAACAAAATCTTCCGGAAAATAGGCCAGGTAAAGGAAGCAATGCTTTAGATGGTATGACAAATCTTCGTAGCTCAAAGACAACACTTGGAATGCCATATTCTCGTTGGGGTCGGGGCTTATTCCTCTTATGATTTGAGATCCGATATTATCATGTACCCTTTTCCACTCGGATACTTTACATTTGGTGGATAACAAGCCTCCTAGCGTTTTGACAGCCAACGGTAATCCTCCACAGTGTTTTATCATTTTCTCAACCTCTTCCTTCACTTCCTCGATCTCAAACTCTGCACATGACAATGGGGCGTTTGATAAGACAAAATTGGTATCTTATATACACACATTGATTTCGTGAACACAACACCTTTACTTCTACAACTTTCTGGCTTCATACGCTTTGAATATTATATAATGTTTTTTTTATAATTTACGAGATTTATTTCCTCCTTTTTTGTAAAAAAAAAATATATCTCTCTTTTCCAATATCTAAGATAATCATTGATATAAACATTCTAAGTGCTTCGAAGCAAAAGCAATATCTTTGAAACTATCCACTTGTATGTATGAAACGTACCAATATCGTCTCTCCCCGAAAATGAGATTCGCTGCAATAGTTCTCGACTCTCTTCATGAGTTAAGCATTTTGGACTGAAAATTTTACATCTTGGATCCGCATATGAAGCAACATCCTCATTTCGAGAAGTAAGCAAGATCTTGCTACCTGCCAAATATCATGTTTTATGACTCATTGATCTATTCTTCTTTCTGAAAACACACACACATGAAGAGGCTACCTGGCTTTTGTGAGAAAGCTGGCTTTATAAGGTCCCAATCTTCCTTACTCCATATATCGTCGAGGACGATTAGACATTTATTGGTTTCAAGCATTTCGAAGAGCTCATCATGGAGTCGTTCTTCTGACATTTGTCGAATTCTATGTTCCTCTTCTTTTGACCTAAGATTCAATAAGATCTCCTCCCAAACGTACTTTCGCCTACATTGTTTTGAAACACACACCCATGCGAACCGGTCAAAATGACTTCTCACCTTGTCATGGTGAAATACTTGTCTAGCAAGAGTGGTTTTCCCGACACCACCCATCCCGCATATCGAAACAACTCCAATATCGATTTTCTCCACCAACTGCCCTGTTAGTTCTTGTATGTTGTGCTCCAACCCCACAAGAACACTTTCAGAAACTTTAGGAAACGATTGCCGAGTCTTCCTTAATCTTTCAAATAAAGGCTCCAGAGGAATTCCATCGTCAACTATATGTTGGACGCCGAGATTCTGCATTCTCTCCATTACCTTGGAGATCCTGGCGGTTATGCTACTGATCTGAGAATCAGCTTTTATTCGATTCATCGGGCTGCGAGTAAACTTGGAGAGACGCTTTATGATCCCTCTTTCATCGGCGACTCCTTCTTTGAGAAGAAAGGCTTCGATAACATCCTCTGCATCACAGACAATCTCTTTCATCTCATTCAGACAGTTCATCACCCTTTGGTTTCCGTGTTTTTTGGCATCTGCATCTTTAAGAAAGCCCTTTAACCGTTCCACTTCATTTAGCAATTCAGTAGCTTTTTCATGGATTTCAGTAAACCGGTCGGATCCCCGAACCAGTAGATCCCACAGTTTCTGCATTCCAAATGCGATGACTCCGTCGGCCATGACTTTTTCCTTGACCATTAAAATACAAGAAAGATACCATATCAGTAACTCAACCTTTTCAAATGTGCCAAATAAATACTTTAATAATTCTTAATTTGATAAAAATAATATTTCAAATATTAAAAATGTGTTAAGTGGATACACCAATTCTTGTATCAAAATTAATACCTTTTCACTCCTGAAATTGAGACCAATTACCAACCAAGATACTGATCGATTTAGATGCTTCTGAAGAAATGTATACGAGTCTTGGTTGAGAATTGCTTTTAATTTTAGACGTTGAGATATCAATTTCAAATATTTTAACTATTATATTATCAAATTCAAAACTAAATTATTTATCTGATAAATTTTAGTATTTATAATAGATTTTTTCTTGGAAAAAAGAAGAAAGAAGCATAAAAAACACACCATAGTTACTATTTTAACATCCTTATCAACATCTGTTTCTCCACCTTAATAATAAGCATCTAAAAACGATTCAATTCAACATTCACAACAAGACAACCTAAGCGAAAAAAATTCATCTATAAAGCAAAATTTGAGCAGATCCCAAATGACCGAGGCAGAGAAGACACACGAAGTAGGGTTTCCCGCGAAGAACTGGAGGAGGAAACGATCAGTGGCTTACCTCACAATCGGCAGAAGCAGAAGCAGAAGCAGAAGCAGCTCCTCTTCTTCAACTCTGGCGGGCGGATCCGACCAAACGAGTACTTAAATTGACCCATACAAGCAGGAGTCGTCGTCAAGGGTCAACTTCCATAATTAAACCAATAGTGAGTTGCCACGTGGAGATGGAAATCTTGTCTCCGGCTTTGTTTGTTTGTTTTTTTTTCTGTGGATAAGTTACACCGCTGGACTGACATACAAAAGATTAGAAGGAAAGGGATAAATAGTTGCCCTGTTTTAGTACAAATAATATGTCATGTGAAGCCCAAGGCCCGTAGACATCATTAGGCTTGTGACCAAGGCCCATTAACAAAAATTTGATTTTCCAAATGCAAGGTATTTTTCTTTTGGTCATCGGCAAGGTATGATTCAAGGCAAGGTAGTTTACTCGGTGAAGATTCTAAAATGTCTTCTTCATATAATCGCAGACATGTAACGAGCCAGAAGGCGGATATTACAGGAGCCAAACCAAAGGAGACAAAAAAAGTCGAGGGGACATAACTCCATAGACAAGGGAAGAGCTGCAGACTTTACTAAAGGGGAGTAGCCGAATGGAAGAAGGGTACAAGGGGTTCTGTACAAGTACCGGAAAGGGAGAGGAGGAATTGAGGATAATGTGCATATGCCATGGCAGTTTTCTTTCCTCCTGTCGAGTTTGTGAAGCAGTTCATCATCGGCATATAATCGTAAATGCTTTCATCCCATTACAATTAAACCCTAACCAGAGGAGAAAAATGTTCAAAAGGAAGTAATATCAATATGTATTTGGAATAATTTGTGTAATGACTATTTTTTTATTTGGAAAATTTATTAATGTAATTAAACAAATCCTAACACAACAATTTTATTTGGAATAAATTATAAAAATGCTTATTTTTTTTAGTAAATATAAAGAACAAGTAAATGTATTAATGCAAAGATACATTATTTGAATAAACAATGTATTTATAAAAGATAATGTACAAACCTAACATCAAGAAATTACCCATGGTGCAAACTCATAAACGAGAAATTAAACATTTCAAGAGGAAAATTAGCCAATTGTCCAAAAAAAAAGAACTAACTTTGCAGGAGAAATAGATCTTCTAGGCTGGTGGTAGGTAGTATGCAAGCCTTCCCTTCCGCAGGAGACGCATATTTCCAATTATCGGATCGATATACACAACAAGTAGACTGCAGTCGGGATAACCAGATTGAATTAGTTCTATGTCAGGATTGGTCATGTGACACCCGTATCCGGCTCTTTGTAAATAGGATGCATCCATGGACTAAAAACCAATAAAATAATGCCAAATAAAAAATACGGAAATTTTAAAACTTTTTACTTCATTGTTGCGCAGCGGAAATATCACACGTGCGATCATAGTCGCAAAAACAACACTTGTCCGAATAGTAAATAGTACACAATACAAAAGTTAGAAATATAAGTCCCGTAGTCCAAAATACAAAACCCATACATGATGTTGTCTCCTCGATGTCATCGTCGTCCGCTAGACGTGCTCCTCGTGATCTGAAAAAGATGAAACCACGAGGGCTAAACACAACTGCTAAGTGAGTAGTCCGGGTTGAACCCGGTAAACCCATTCTCAGCGAGAACGGTGTTAAAACGATAATTCACATTCACATAGAACAATAGTCAACATGCACCATCACATAACATACATCATAGTCATACCAACCACAATCATATTCGTATGACTACTAGAGGTGTGGTATGTTAGGATTCCTGGGATCTCTAGAGCGAATCCTATTCCTAATAGATCGATTCTAAGGTTTGCGTAGCGGATGTAAAATAAAAATTTTATGAAACCCTAAAACCATGGATGTATGATTACGTAGAAATGTTAGAATGATTACCTCAATCGATCCGGGGCCTGTATCAATTTATGTGTTCGTCCGACCACGAAAGGAGGAAGATTACCTCGTCCTCTACACGTATCCACACCTCGGGATGGATTCCCACGATTAGAACTTGTCTGCTAGGATCCGAATCAACTATTCAGTATGTTGCTTCGAGAACCTTTTGGTTCTCACCAAAGTCTGTAGAAGTTCTCCAAAGTCGGCCACCAACTATTAGGGTTTTAATCTCCTTATAAAGTGATTTAACCCTAATTTTGGTTTAATTTTCGAAAAATCCGAAAGCCAGAACGGACGGTCCAGAAATGCACGTGGACTGTCCGTTCCAGACCTTCTAGAACGGACAGACCATGTTCTGGACCGTCGGGTCTGGACCTAGCGGACCATCGGGTCTGGCCCTTCTGGTCCGTTCGGTCTGGACGTCTCTGTCTCGGTTTTTCGTCGTTTTTTCTTGTGCATTCATCCTTCCCTGCGTGTGTGACCCTATAGACGGTCTCTAGCAAGACACTATGACTACCTATCTCGAATAGAGTTTGTTCATGATCTTACGAACGCCAATGATGATTCTGGTTGATGATCCTTTTGTATCACGATATCATTTGTCGAACATAAGGCATGG